TGTCACAATATAGCAATGTGTCGTTAAACCCGCCACCACCCGACACGGCCAATCGGTTAAGGGTTGCGTCACTTAAACAGAACGCGGACGATTCGTTCCGACTTTCCCACACACACACACGCACACAAGCAACGCACCTCCTGTTGGTGTGCTGAACGACGTGACGCAAACCCCGGTAAATTCGCTGTGTCCTGGCGGTGGTGGCGGTGGTGGTGACGGTGGCCTGGTTGAATAACGCCAACATTTCTCAATGAACGTCATCTAAACCCCTCAATCTAAACAGGTCCCTGCAGGGTGGGCTGGTAGGAACATTGGAATTTTGCGCGGTTTTATTTTTACACCCCAACAGCACGAGATTTCACTTCGTTAAAGTATTGAAAGGGGACGGACGGACACGTTAATCTATTGCAGGCTGGTACACTCAGTTCACAACTTCGTTACTACCAGTAAAACACCAAACCTCTAAGAATGCCAATGTTTGGTGCCTTACGGTGAAGTCATCACGTAGGTAGAAGAAGAATAATAAATAATAATTATAATAGATAACGCCGTTTCGATCGCAACGATAAGCGGTCGCACTCAGGCGGAAATAAATAATACAGCTGTTCCACAGCTGTTCCACTGTTGTAATTGTTCATGTGGCAGTGGGTTTATACCGCAACACACAACCGGTTAGTGCTGTACTAGTCTACTATACACTATACTGTACACCACACTGTACACTGTACTGTACACTACACCGCACACTACACTGTACACTACACTGTACACTATACACTGCACACTACACTGTACACTACACTGCACACTACACTGTACACTATACACCGTACACTACACTGTACACTATACACTGCACACAACACTGTACACTATACTGCACACTACACTGTACACTATACACTACACTATACACTACGCACTACACTGTACACTATACACTACACTGCACACTACACTGCACACTACACTGTACACTACTATGCACTGCACTACACTATACACTACACTGCACACTACACTGTATACTATACTGCACACTACACTGTACACTACACTACGCACTACACTGTACACTATACACTACACTGCACACTACACTGTACACTGCACTGTACACTACACTATACACTACTATGCACTACACTATACACTACACTATGCACTACTACACTGCACACTACATTGTACACTACACTACACTACCCTGTACACTACACTATGCACTACACTATGCACTACACTGTAATTATTCACAACGGGTTAGTGCTGTACTCGTAACGAATTTGCCACGTTTTGTGTCCATGACGCGCAAGTTGGCCGGGTGGTGGGGGGCTTTACGACGCAATTCATATTCACGCCATCCAACCCAACAAAAAAAACGACCCGCCACGTGTTAAAGCAAAATAAAAAGTAGCTTCAATCGATGAAACTGAATGGATTCGTTTAATTCAAACAACTTTGGAGCTTACGTTGGACCGACAGCCACATAGCGCCCGCGTTCCACGCGTACGACCCCACGCACTCCTGGCTGAACCTTACCCATAACCTCCTTAGGTTGCCCTGACCTCAGCCACAGCCCCACGTGGTGCCCTCTTGCCCCACCGCCGCCGCCCGCTACTTAGTGCAGCGGTCGGCAGCCGGCGTCTCGGGAACCCGCTCTTTAATAACCCGCTTGGGTGTCGTTCAAATTCCTAGACCTGGTCTACAAATCCCTTGGTCGACTTGCCCCAGCGTGTCTTGCCACGCTCGGATCTTTCACCGTCTCCGCCTTCTCAGTCTTTCCCCGTCTACATTCTCAATCTTTCTCCGTCTCTGCCTTCCCAATCTTTCACCGTCTCTACTTTCTCAATCTTTCTCCGTCTCTGCCTTCTCAATCTTTCTCCCTGTCTACATTCTCAGTCTTTCTCCGTCTCTGCCTTCTCAATCTTTCTCCGTCTCTGCCTTCTCAATCTTTCTCCCTGTCTACCTTCTCAATCTTTCTCCGTCTCTGCCTCCTTAATCTTTCTCCCTGTCTACCTTCTCAATCTTTTTCTGTCTATGCCTTCTCAATCTTTCTCCCTGTCTACATTATCAATCTTTCTCTGTCTATGCCTTCTCAATCTTTCTCCGTCTCTGCCTTCTCAGTCTTTCTCCGTCTCTGCCTTCTCAATCTTTCTCCCTGTCTACATTCTCAATCTTTCTCCGTCTCTGCCTTCTCAATCTTTCCCCGTCTCTGCCTTCTCAATCTTTCTCCGTCTCTGCCTTCTCAATCTTTCCCCGTCTCTGCCTTCTCAATCTTTCTCCGTCTCTGCCTTCTCAATCTTTCTCTGTCTCTGCCTTCTCAATCTTTCTCCGTCTCTGCCTTCTCAATCTTTCTCCGTCTCTGCCTTCTCAATCTTTCTCCGTCTCTGCCTTCTTAATCTTTCTCCCTGTCTACATTCTCAATCTTTCTCCGTCTCTGCCTTCTCAATCTTTCTCCGTCTCTGCCTTCTCAATCTTTCTCCGTCTCTGCCTTCTTAATCTTTCTCCCTGTCTACATTCTCAATCTTTCTCCGTCTATGCCTTCTCAGTCTTTCTCCGTCTCTTCCTTCTCAGTCTTTCTCCGTCTCTGCCTTCTCAGTCTTTCTCCGTCTCTGCCTTCTCAGTCTTTCTCTGTCTCTGCCTTCTCAATCTTTCTCCCTGTCTACATTCTCAATCTTTCTCCGTCTCTGCCTCAATCTTTCTCCGTCTCTGCCTCAGTCTTTCTCCGTCTCTACATTCTCAATCTTTCGCTGTCTCTGCCTTCTCAATCTTTCTCCGTCTCTGCCTTCTCAATCTTTCTCCGTCTCTGCCTTCTCAATCTTTCTCCGTCTCTGCCTTCTCAATCTTTCTTCGTCTCTACATTCTCAATCTTTCTCTGTCTCTGCCTTCTCAATCTTTCGCCGTCTCTGCCTTCTCAATCTTTCTCCGTCTCTGCCTTCTCAGTCTTTCTCCCTGTCTACCTTCTCAATCTTTCTCCGTCTCTGCCTCCTCAATCTTTCTCCCTGTCTACCTTCTCAATCTTTCTCTGTCTATGCCTTCTCAATCTTTCTCCCTGTCTACATTATCAATCTTTCTCTGTCTATGCCTTCTCAATCTTTCTTCGTCTCTGCCTTCTCAGTCTTTCTCCGTCTCTGCCTTCTCAATCTTTCTCCCTGTCTACATTCTCAATCTTTCTCTGTCTATGCCTTCTCAATCTTTCTCCCTGTCTGCCTTCTCAATCTTTCTCCGTCTCTGCCTTCTCAGTCTTTCTCTGTCTATGCCTTCTCAATCTTTCTCCCTGTCTACATTATCAATCTTTCTCCGTCTATGCCTTCTCAATCTTTCTCCGTCTCTGCCTTCTCAATCTTTCTCCGTCTCTGCCTTCTCAGTCTTTCTCCGTCTCTGCCTTCTCAATCTTTCTCCGTCTCTGCCTCAATCTTTCTCCGTCTATGCCTTCTCAATCTTTCTCCCTGTCTGCCTTCTCAATCTTTCTCCGTCTCTGCCTTCTCAATCTTTCTCTGTCTCTGCCTTCTCAATCTTTCTCCCTGTCTGCCTTCTCAATCTTTCTCCGTCTCTGCCTTCTCAATCTTTCTCCGTCTCTGCCTTCTCAGTCTTTCTCCCTGTTTACATTCTCAATCTTTCTCCGTCCCTCTCTTTCTCTCTCTGTTCCTCCTCTGTCTCCTTGCGCTCAATCCCCGCTTTCGCTCTCTCTCTCTCCTCTTATCGCCCTGCCAACCCCTTTCGCTGGAACGAACTTCCACCCCTCCACATGAAGCGGTCGCCTTTGGGCTCGCTTAGTTTCCATTCCGCACTCAAAACTACGTCCCCCTCATAACCGACACCACCATTACTTTTCTCTCTTCATATTCTCATTATCCGGCTATCGCTCATTAACACCCCATGCATCCAATCCAATCATCATTTACTGTCATCATTATTCCCATTATCCGGCTATCGTTCATTAACCCCATTCATTCCATCCATTGATCATCATTTACTGTCTTAATAATTATTCTCATTATCCGGCTATCACTCATTAACCCCATTCATCCAATCCATTTGTCATCATTCACTGTCGTAATAATAATTATTCTCCTTATCCGGCTATCGTTCATTAACCCCATTCATCCAATCCAATCATCATTTACTGTCTTAATAATTATTATCATTATCCGGCTATCGTTCATTAACCCCATTCATTCAATCCATTGATCATCATTTACTGTCAATAATAATTATTCTCATTATCTGGCTATCACTCATTAACACCCCATTCATCCAATCCAATCATCATTTACTGTCATCATTATTCTCATTATCTGGCTATCATTCATTAACCCCATTCATTCAATCCATTCGTCATCATTCACTGTCGTAATAATAGTTATTCTCATCCGGCTATCGCTCATTAACTCCATTCATTCAATCCATTGATTATCATTTACTGTCATGATAATAATAATTCTCATTATCCGGCTATCGCTCATTAACTCCATTCAATCCATTGATCATCATTTACTATCTTAATAATTATTCTCATTATCCGGCTATCGCTCATTAATCCCATTCATCCAATCCATTCGTCATCATTCACTGCCGTCAATTTCACTTCCACCGCTTCCTCTCATCTATTTCATTCGCCTCGTCGCCACCGCTCCGTCCACGCGTTGTACCCTTCATTAATTACCGCGTGAATTACTTTCAGAGATATGAGACGATTGATTGATCACCACGTTTCGATCGCAACACAGGGCGACCGTCTTCAGGCGATCGAATAAACCTCGCGGCCCATTAATTTTCTACCCACGTGGTGACTTTTACCCAAAGAACCTACGGGTGTGGATTCCCGCGGTCACGACTGCTTCAAATCAAAATCGATGATGAGATGAGCCTCACACGCGTTGGCGGGTCTTGAAAACTATACTTTTGACTCGCTACTTCGCCGAATGTTTATATTTTTTCGGTTTGCCACGACCCGCCCCCCCCCTACGCCATGCCTCCCCCCCCCTCCCCCACAGTGCGTGCCAGGAGCGGCGGAGGACCCCAAAGCCGCGAGCCGCTACAAGCTGGTGCACGTGGGCAGCGTGCGGAGCCTGGCGGACTCGCGCACGGCCGCGCAGGAGGGGCTGCAGGACCAGGGTGAGAGGCCTCGTCGCTCGTGCGGCAGCGCTGGCCGCCTCGCCCCACCCCCACCCCCGTCACCGTCGCCGTCGCGTGCCGCCGTGCCGGTAGCCTTCGGAGGCGCGGCTGCCGCCGCTGCTCGCTGCTGCCGACAGCGCTCTTGCCCCGCGCGGTCTGTTAAGGCTACACGGTGGGGGGTTGGTGGAATCTTTGTCTTTGTGCGCGGGGAGCAGCGGGCACAGCGGGCACAGCGGGCACAGCGGGCACAGCGGGCACAGTGGGCACAGCTGGCACAGTGGGCACAGCGGGCACAGCGGGCACAGCGGGCACAGCGGGAACCCCGACGACGATCCGAACCGGTCCCGGGTGCGTGGTGAACGTCGCCACCGGGGGGGGAGCAAAAGGCAGCCGGGCACGGTGCCGGCCACCCACCCCACCCCCCCACCCCCCCCTCGCGTGCCGCCGCCGTGCCGGTAGCCTTCATGGGCGCCGTCCGCTGCCACTCGCCGCCGACGGCACTTGCCCCGACAGCCTGCTAAGCCTACACGGTGTGGCCGCGCCGCTCGAACGAACGCGGACGGAAACCCCCGACCTGGATTCCCGTCTCGCGGGCCAACGCCGACACCGTCGGCGGTCACCTGAACCGGCCCCCGGGAGCCTCCGCCTAGGTCGACTCGGCCGTCAGAACGATGCACCCGGCACGGTGCGGAGTCGACGTGGCCAGCGGGCGTGGGTGGTGCCGGCCGAGGGCCCGCCCGCCCGCCCGCCCGCCCGCCGGCTCGCGGCCGAGACCGCCTCTGCTCAGCAGCGCTCGTCTCGATTTGAAACTTTCGCGAGCGCGGCAACGCGCGCTCTTCGGTTCTCGCCGGTGAAGTCGTCAACGTGGCGGCGGGTAGAAAACGCCATCTGTTAATTTTTTTCCCCTCTGCCTTTGCCGAAAGAGCCGTCGAGTCGGGCGCCCGTCCGGTGAAGGCCACGCCGGCACGGCGCCGGCGGTTTGGCGGGAAAGTTTTGCGATTGTCGCCGCAGACGTGCTGCTGCTGATCCGCCGGCGCACCCCGCCGCCGCTTCCCAAGATGACGGACGTGGCGTCCGAGGAGAAGGTTCGCTCCCGCCGCCGCGGTGGGGGGGGGGGCCTGGGGGGCAGGGGGGGGCAGGGGGGGGCACCCCCTCCTCCTCCGCTTTCCCCACTCTGCGAAACGTCGTACTCAGTTTGTAAATGTTGTGGCTTAGCTCTCCAACACGCCGGTGTGCTGTACTAGTATACTACACTATACACTACACGACTATACACTACACTATACACTACATTATACACTACACTATACACTACATTATACACTACACTATACACTACTATACACTACATTATACACTACACTATACACTACACTACTATACACTACACTATACACTACACGACTATACACTACACTATACACTACACTATACACTACACTATACACTACACTATACACTACACTATACACTACACTACTATACACTACACTACTATACACTACACACTAGTGCTGTACCAGTGACGAATTGGCCACGTTCTGTTGACGTGACAACCCTTACTAGTTGGCTGTGTCGGGTGGTGGCGGGGTTTTAACGGCACATTAACACATTTACTGGTGGCGGGTTTCAACGGCACATTAACACATTTACTGGTGGTGGGTTTCAACAGCACATTAACACATTTACTGGTGGCGGGTTTCAACAGCACATTAACACATTTACTGGTGGCGGGGTTTTAACAGCACATTAACACATTTACTGGTGGCGGGTTTCAACAGCACATTAACACATTTACTGGTGGCGGGTTTCAACAGCACATTAACACATTTACTGGTGGCGGGTTTCAACGGTACATTAACACATTTACTGGTGGCGGGTTTCAACGGCACATTAACACATTTACTGGTGGCGGGTTTCAACGGCACATTAACACATTTACTGGTGGCGGGTTTCAACAGCACATTAACACATTTACGTGATCTAACCCAAAAACCTCTGTTATGCGCGATAGCTTCGTCTGCGTCTGTGTGTGTGTGTAGTGCGTCTGTGTGTGTGTAGTGTGTGTGTGTGCAGTGTGTATGTGTAGTGTGTCTGTGTGTAGTGTGTCTTTGTGTCTGTGTGTGTGTGTAGTGTGTGTGTGTGTCTGTATGTGTGTCTGTGTATGTGTGTAGTGTCTGTGTGAGTGTGTGTGCGTGTGTCTGTGTGTGTGTGTCTGTGTGTGTTGTGTGTCTGTGTGTGTAGTGTGTCTGTGTGTGTGTCTGGGTGTGTTTGTGTATGTGTGTAGTGTCTGTGTGTGTGTGCGTCTGTGTGTGTGTGTGTCTGTGTGTGTGTGTAGTGTGTCTGTGTGTGTGTGTCTGTGTGTGTGTCTGTGTGTGTGTAGTGTGTGTGTGTGTCTGTGTGTGTCTGTGTGTGTCTGTGTGTGTAGTGTGTCTGTGTGTGTGTAGTGTGTCTGTGTGTTTGTGTCTGTGTGTGTGTCTGTGTGTGTGTCACTGTGTGTGTCTGTGTGTGTGTGTGTAGTGTGTGTGTGTGTCTGTGTGTGTCTGTGTAGTGTCTCTGTGTGTAGTGTGTAGTGTGTCTGTGTGTGTGTCTGTGTGTGTCTGTGTGTGTCTGTGTGTCTGTGTGTGTGTAGTGTGTGTGTGTCTGTGTGTGTGTGTCTGTGTGTGTGTGTGTCTGTGTGTGTGTAGTGTAGCGGTCAGCGTTGCACTGCCCTGCGAACCTCGAGACCCCAGTTCGTTTCCTGCTCACGGCCAACACCGGTGACGATTATTTGTACCGGTCCTGGGCCTCCACTTGGGTCGACAAAATGAGTACCTGGTGTAGCGGTGTGTAAACATCGCCACTGGGGAGACAAAGGCAGTCGGGCGTGGTGCTGGCCACCCACCCCCTCGTGTACCGTTCCGGCCTTCATAGGTGCTCGCTAACAGCACTTTCCCCTACAGCAGGGGTCGGGAACCTATGGCTCGCGAGCCAGATGTGGCTCTTTTGATGATTGCATATGGCTCGCAGATAAAACAAAATATTCTCACTTGTTTTAATCCATCCATCGATTTTTCACTGCGCATGTCCTGTTCAGGGCTGCAGGAGCAATTGTCCATTATTTTAATTGGATGATACTGGCCTACGTTTGCCGTTGCTGGGTAAAACAGGTAAACGCCCCCTTTTGAATCAGTCTGAGACTGTGTCTGCTCGGTCATTAGCTCAAAACTAACCCTTCGACGAAGAAGATGGCGAAAAGAAAAAAAGACGACGAGTATCGTACATTTCAGGACGAATGGACCGAAGAATTCGCCTTTGTGGAGAGAGCGGGTTCTGCGGTGTGTCTAATTTGCAATGACAAAATTACATCGTTGAAACGGTCGAATGTAAAGCGGCACTTCGACACGCGCCACGCTACCTTTGCATCAAAATACCCTGCGGGAGACAGCAGAAAGAAAGCGTGCCAAGAGCTTCTGAGCAGGGTGCAAGCTAGCCAGCAGCAACTCCGCGTATGGACCCGGCAAGGTGACTATAATTCGGCTAGCTTTGCTGGTTCTTTAGCAATAGTGAGGAACGGAAAACCATTCACAGATGGCGAGTATGCTAAAACGTTCATGCTGGATGTAGCCAATGAACTTTTTGATGATCTTCCGAACAAAGACAAGATAATCAAACGGATACAAGACATGCCTCTGTCGGCAAGAACTGTTCATGATCGTACCATCGTGATGGCAAACAAAGTGGAGGAAACGCAAGTGAAGGACATAAATGCAGCGCCGTTCTTTTCTCTGGCTTTGGATGAGTCAACAGACGTGAGCCATTTGTCGCAGTTCAGCGTGATTGCAAGATATGCTGTTGGTGACACACTGCGCGAAGAAAGTCTTGCTGTTCTGCCATTAAAAGGGTCCACAAGAGGTGAGGATTTATTCAAGTCTTTCATGGAGTTTGCTCAAGAAAAAGTCTACCTATGGATAAACTTCTCTCAGTGTGTACTGATGGTGCTCCGTGTATGGTGGGGAAAAACAAAGGATTTGTGGCGCTTCTCCGTGAACATGAAAATAGACCCATCCTAAGTTTCCATTGCATTATACACCAGGAGGCACTTTGTGCTCAGATGTGTGACAGGCAGTTTGGCGAAGTGATGTCGCTGGTCATTCGTGTGATCAACTTTATTGTTGCCCGAGCCTTAAATGATCGCCAGTTTAAAACACTGCTGGATGAAGTTGTAAATAACTATCCTGGTCTGCTTTTGCACAGCAATGTGCGTTGGTTGTCAAGAGGGAAGGTGCTTAGCCGTTTTGCGGCTTGCCTGAACGAAATCCGGACTTTCCTTGAAATGAAAGGCGTCGGGCATCCTGAGCTAGCCGACACCGAGTGGCTCCTCAAGTTTTACTATCTCGTAGATCTGACTGAACATCTGAACCAGCTCAACGTGAAAATGCAAGGCATTGGAAATACAGTGTTATCCCTTCAACAAGCTGTATTTGCTTTTGAAAACAAGCTGGAGCTTTTCATCACGGATCTTGAAACAGGTCGTTTACTACATTTTGAAAAACTGAGCCAATTTAAAGATGCATGCACAGCAAGTGAGCCCATTCAAAACCTTGATCTCCACCAGCTAGCTGGCTGCACATCCAGTCTCCTACAGTCCTTCAAAGCACGCTTTGGAGAATTTCGTGAGCACACTCGTCTTTTTAAGTTCATCACCCATCCAAACGAGTGTTCACTGAACACAGCCGACCTGAATTACATCCCTGGTGTCTCCGTCAGAGATTTTGAAGCAGAAGTGGCTGACCTGAAGGCCTCAGACATGTGGGTGAATAAGTTCAAGTCACTGAATGAAGATTTGGAAAGAATCACACGACAGAAAGCGGAGTTGGCGAGCAAGCACATGTGGACAGAAATGAAAAAAACTCCAACCCGAAGACCAGCTGATTCTCAAAACTTGGAACGTGCTTCCTGTCACATACCACACACTGCAGCGTGTGAGTATTGCTGTATTGACCATGTTTGGATCTACGTATGCATGTGAGCAGTCATTCTCACATCTTAAAAACATCAAGTCCAACCTACGATCACGTTTAACGGATGAAAGCCTCAACGCTTGCATGAAGCTTAACCTCACCAAGTACCAACCCGACTACAAAGACATCAGCAAATCCATGCAGCACCAGAAGTCGCATTAATGGTGAGTGTTATAACAACATTATTTAAAATAATAAATTCAGAGGCTTATTATACTGACATTTAGTTGAATTCACTTTTAAAATATATTATATGGCTCTCACTGAAATAAATTTCCAAATTTTTTGCTTTCATGGCTCTCTTAGTCAAAAAGGTTCCCGACCCCTGCCCTACAGTCTGTTAAGGCTATACGGGGGGTCTTTGTTTGTCTTTTGTGTGTGAACGTGTGTGCGTGCGTGTGTGCGTGTGTACTTACGTGCGTGTGTGCGTGCGTGTGTACGTACGTGTGTGTGCGTGTGTGTGCGTGTGTGCGCGTGTGTGTGCACGTGTGTACGTACGTGTGTGTGTGCCCGTGTGTGTGCGCGTGTGTACGTACGTGTGCGCGTGTGTGTGTGCGTGTGCGCGTGTGTGGCCGTGTGTGTGCGCGTGTGTACGTGCGTACCTGTGTGCGCGTACGTGTGTGCGTGTGTGTGCGTACGTATGTGCGTGTGTGCACGTGCGTACGTACGTGTGTGTGTGCACGTGTGCGTGTGCACGTACGTGTGTGTGTGTGCGTGCGTGTGTGCGTGCGTGTGCGTGTGTGAACGTGTGTGTGTGTGTATGTGAGCGTGTGTGCATGCGTGTGTGTGTGTGCATGCGTGTGTGTGTGTGTGCGTGTGTGTGTGCACGTGTGTGTGTGCACGTGTGCGTGTGTACGTACGTGTGTGCGTGCGTGCGTGTGTGTGTGCGTGCGTGTGTGTGAACATGTGTGTGCGCGTGTGCGTGTGTGTGTGTAGCGGAAGGCGGAGCAGAAGGCCCCGGATCGTGATGCCATCGTCCAGGCGACGGCGGGCGTGAGGGCGAGGAATGCGTCACGCACCACCACCGCCCCCCCCAACATCCGTGACGTGAGAAGCGGCCGCCTGTTCCTCCTCCTCCTGTTGTTGTTGTTGTTGTCGGCGTGTGTGTCCGCGTGCGTGCCTGTGTGTGTGTGTGCGCGTTTACGGGGGGAGCGGTAGTGTAGCGGGTAGCGCTACGCTGCGCTACGAACCTGGCGACCCGGGTTCGATTCCCGCTCACGGCCAACACCGGTGACGATTCTCTGAACCGGTCCCGGGCCTCCCCTAGGTCGACTCAGCCTTAAATGAGTACCTGATGCGATGTGTAGTAAACATCGCCTTTAGGGAGACAAAGGCGGTCGGGCGTGGTGCTGGCCACCCACCCCCTCGTGTGCCCTTCCGGCCTTCGTAGGTGGTGCTCGCTACCAGCACTTGCCCCTACAGTCTGTTAAGGCTATACGGGGGATCTTTGTGCGTTTATGGAGGACGCTGCTACTGGGCAGTTGCAGGCAGTCGCCCTCCGACAGCAACGGAGGGCAGAGGAGCGACGCTCACAACAACGAGCGGAGCGCTGGGCGGATAAAATGCAGCGAGTTGGTACAGACGGGGGCACAGGTGGTGCATCAGCCACTCATCTCAGTCAGCCAACCCGTTGCACCTGCTGGGTCTGTCTCGTGACCTCCTGCACCTAGCCTGGCACAGTAGGGGGGTCACAGCTGGTGGTGCATCTATCGGTCATCTCAGTCGGCCAACCCACGGCACCTGCTGGGGGTCTGTCCCGTGACCTCCTGCACCTAGCCTGGCACAGGGGTTACAGCTGGTGGTGCATCTGCCGGTCATCTCAGTCGGCGAAACCCACGGCACCTTCTGGGTCTGTCCCGTGACCTCCTGCACCTAGCCTGGCACGGTAGGGGGGGTCACAGCTGGTGGTGCATCTACCGGTCATCTCAGTCGGCCAACCCACGGCACCTGCTGGGGGTCTGTCCCGTGACCTCCCTGTCAGCGAGCCTCCTACACTTCGACGCGATAGCCTCAAAGTGCACCTGGCCCGGCACGAGCGGCGTGGTGACGTCACCGCCACTTTAGTGGCCAATGGCGGGGATCGGTGCGTGTGTGCGTGACGCTCCGCCCAACTCCGCCTGCTCATCCTCCCGTTGTTGCTTTCCGTGCGTTTCTGCGTGCGTGCGCCTGGGTTCCCGGGCCTTCATAGTTGCTGCTGCTGCTGCTGCTACTCGCTGACAATTGCTTTCCCCATAACAGTTCCCAACAGTCTGTTAAGGCTCCGTAGATGGGGGGGGGGGGGGTGGTCTTTGTCTTCTACGTGTGCGTGTGTGCGTGCGTGTGTGCGTGTGTGCGTGCGTGTGTGCGTGTGTGCGTGCATGCGCGTGTGTGCGTGCGTGTGTGCGTGCATGCGTGTGTGTGCGTGTGTGTGCGTGTGTGCGTGTGCGAGGAGCGGTGGTGGTAGCAGTTAGCGCCGCGCTACGAACCCAAGTTCGATTCCCGCTCACGGCCAACACCGCCGGTGACGACTCTCCCAACCGGTTCCCATTCCAACCCCTAGGTCGACTCGGCCTCAAACGAGTAAACCCGGTGTGGCGTAGTTAAACATCGCCAGCACTGGGGGAGACAAAGGCGGCCGGGCGTGGTTGCTGGCCAGCCCACCCACCTCGTGTGCCCACAGTGCCGGCAGCCTTCACAGGCGCTGCTGCTGCTCGCTAACAGCACTTGCCCCGACAGTCTGTGAAGGCTACACGGGGGACCTTTGTCTGTTGCTGTGTGTGTGTGTGTGCGTGCGTCACAGTTCCACACGGACCTGCGCAAGATCCTCGTGTCACTCATCGACGTCGCGCAGAAGCTGCTCGCTCTGAACCCCGAAGCGGTCGACTTGTTCCGCACCGCCAACGGTGCGGCGCTCGCTCCGTCACTCGCTCGCTCACTCGCTCGCTCCATCAGCCGCTCGCTCGCTCGCTCGCTCCATCACCCGCTCGCTCACTCGCTCCATCACCCGCTCGCTCACTCGCTCCATGACCCGCTCGCCCGCTCGCTCCATCACCCGCTCGCTCCATCACCCGCTCGCTCCATCAGCCGCTCGCTCACTCGCTCGCTCACTCCATCACTCGCCTCCATCACTCGCTCGCTCGCTCCATCACTCGCTCCATCACTCGCTCCATCACCCGCTCGCTCACTCGCTCCGTCACTCGCTCCGTCACCCGCTCGCTCCATCAGCCGCTCGCTCACTCGCTCCATGACCCGCTCGCCCGCTCGCTCCATCACCCGCTCGCTCCATCACCCCGCTCGCTCACTCGCTCCATCACCCGCTCGCTCGCTCGCCCCATCACCCGCTCGCTCACTCGCTCCGTCACCCGCTCGCTCACTCGCTCGCCCACCACTCGCCAGCACTAGCCGCTCACGTCGCTCCATCACCCGCTCACTCACTCGCTCCATCACCCGCTCGCTCACTCGCTCCATCACCCGCTCGCTCGCTCCATCACCCGCTCGCTCACTCGCTCCATCGCCCGCTCGCTCACTCGCTCCATCACCCGCTCGCTCACTTGCTCCATGACCCGCTCGCTCACTCGCTCCATCACCCGCTCGCTCGCTCCGTCACCCGCTCGCTCACTCGCTCCGTCACCCGCTCGCTCACTCGCTCCATCACCCGCTCGCTCGCCCACCACTCGCCAGCACTAGCCGCTCACTCGCTCCATCACCCGCTCGCTCACTCGCTCAATCACCCGCTCGCCCGCTCGCTCCATCACCCGCTCGCTCGCTCCGTCACCCGCTCGCTCACTCGCTCCATCACCCACTCGCTCACTCGCTCCATCACCCGCTCGCTCGCTCGCTCGCCCACCACTCGCCAGCACTAGCCGCTCACTCGCTAACACTCACCGCCACTCGCAAATCGCCCGCCCGCCCACTCGCTCGTTCGCTCGCTCACCAGCACTCACCACTCGCTCGCAAATCACTCGCTCGCCACTCGCCACTCACTACTCACTCACAACTCGCTAATACTCGCCACTCACTAATACTCACCACTCACTCACTCACTCGCTAATACTTGCCACTCACTAATACTCGCCACTCACTAATACTCACCACTCACTCGCCACTCACGAATACTCACCACTCACTCACTCGCTAATACTCGCCACTCACTACTCACTCACCACTTGCTAATACTCGCCACTCACTAATATTCACCACTCGCTAATACTCACCACTCACTCGCCACTCACTAATACTCGCCACACACTAATACTCACCACTCACTAATACTCACCACTCACTCGCCACTCACTAATACTCGCCACTCACTAATACTCACCTCTCACGACTCACTCACTCACTCGCTAATACTCGCCACTCACTACTCACTCACAACTCGCTAATACTCGCCACTCACTAATACTCACCACTCACTCGCCACTCACTAATACTCACCTCTCACTACTCACTCACAACTCGCTAATACTCGCCACTCACTTTATACTCACCACTCACTAATACTCACCACTCACTCGCCACTCACTAATACTCACCACTCACTACTCACTCACTCGCTAATACGCTCTACTCACTACTCACTCACCACTCGCTAATACTCGCCACTCACTAATACCACTCACTAATACTCACCACTCGCCACTCACTAATACTTACCACTCACTAATACCACTCACTCGCCACTCACTTATACTCACCACTCACTAATACTCACCACTCACTCGCCACTCACTTATACACAGCACTCACTCACCACTCACTTTACCACTCACTACTCACTCGCCACTCACTAATACTCACCACTCAATACTCACTCGCCACTCACTAATACCACTCACGAATAATTACCACTCACTAATACTTACCACTCACTAATACTCACCACTCACTACTCGCCACTCACTAATACTCACCACTCACTAATACTCACCACTCACTAATACTCACCACTCACTAATACTCACCACTCACTACTCACTCACTCACTCACTAATACTCACTACTCACTCGCCACTCACTAATACTCACCACTCACTAATACTCACCACTCACTAATACTCACCACTCACTCACCACTCACCACTCACTCACCACTCACCAATACTCACCACTCGCTAAAACTCACCACTCGCTAAATACTCGCCACTCGCTCGCTAACGCTCACCGGCACTCACTCGCAGATACTCACCACTCGCTGAACCCTCGCCAACACTCACGGCCACTCGCCAACACTCGCCACCACTACCACGCCAACCCACGCTCGCCCGCTCGCTCGCCCACACATCGCTCGCACAAAGCACTTGATTCACCCTTCACTTACGCACACACCGGGTGACACTCGCTCCTACAGCTCCTGTGTGCGTGCGTGCGTGCCTGTGCGTCCACGTGCTTGCGTGCGTGCGTGCGTGTGTGCCTGTGCGTCCACGTGCGTGTGTGCGTGCCTGTGCGTCCACATGCGTGTGTGCGTGCATGTGCGTGTGTCTGCGTGTGAGCGGTGGTGTAGTAGCGGGTAGCGCTACGCTGCGCTACGAACCCGGCGGCCCGAGTTCGATTCCCGCTCACGGCCAACACCACCAAGTGACGATTATCTGAACCGGTCCTGGGCCTCCCCTGGGTCGACTCAGCCTCAAAATGAGCACCTGGTGGCGGTGTGCAGTAAACATCGCCACTGTGGAGACAAAGGCGGTCGGGCGTGGTGCTGGCCACCCACCCCCTCGTGTGCTGTTTCGGCCTTCGTAGTGTGCTCGCTAACAGCACTTGCCCCTGCAGTCTGTTGAAGGCTACACGGGGGATCTTTGTCTTTGTGTGTGTGTAGTGCTAGCAGCATTTGCCCCTGCAGTCTGTTGAAGGCTACCCGGGGGGTCTTTGTGTGTGTGTAGTGCTATCAGCACTTGCCCCTGCAGTCTGTTGAAGGCTACACGGGGGATCTTTGTCTTTGTGTGTGTGCAGTGCTAACAGCACTTGGCCCTGCAGTCTGTTGAAGGCTACCCGGGGGATCTTTGTGTGTGTGCAGTGCTAGCAGCACTTGCCCCGACAGTCTGTTGAAGGCTACACGGGGGACCTTTGTGTGTGTGTAGTGCTAACAGCACTTGCCCCTGCAGTCTTTTGAAGGCTACCTGGGGGATCTTTGTCTTTGTGTGTTGGCAGTGCTAACAGCACTTGCCCCTGCAGTCTGTTGAAGGCTACCCGGGGGATCTTTGTCTTTGTGTGTGTGTAGTGCTAACAGCACTTGCCCCTGCAGTCTTTTGAAGGCTACCTGGGGGATATTTGTCTTTGTGTGTTGGCAGTGCTAACAGCACTTGCCCCTGCAGTCTGTTGAAGGCTACCCGGGGGATCTTTGTCTTTGTGTGTGTGCAGTGCTAACAGCACTTGCCCCTGCACTCTGTTGAAGGCTACCCTGGGGATCTTTGTCTTTGTGTGTGTGCAGTGCTAACAGCACTTGCCCCTGCAGTCTGTTGAAGGCTACCTGGGGGATCTTTGTCTTTGTGTGTTGGCAGTGCTAACAGCACTTGCCCCTGCAGTCTGTTGAAGGCTACCCGGGGGTTCTTTGTCTTTGTGTGTGTGCAGTGCTAACAGCACTTGCCCCTGCACTCTGTTGAAGGCTACCCGGGGGATCTTTGTCTTTGTGTGTGTGCAGTACTAACAGCACTTGCCCCTGCAGTCTGTTGAAGGCTACACGGGGGACCTTTGTCTTTGTGTGTGTAGTGCTAACAGCACTTGCCCCTGCAGTCTTTTGAAGGCTACCTGGGGGATCTTTGTCTTTGTGTGTTGGCAGTGCTAACAGCACTTGCCCCTGCAGTCTGTTGAAGGCTACCCGGGGGTTCTTTGTCTTTGTGTGTGTGCAGTGCTAACAGCACTTGCCCCTGCACTCTGTTGAAGGCTACCCGGGGGATCTTTGTCTTTGTGTGTGTGCAGTACTAACAGCACTTGCCCCTGCAGTCTGTTGAAGGCTACACGGGGGACCTTTGTCTTTGTGTGTGTGTAGTGCTAACAGCACTTGCCCCTGCAGTCTTTTGAAGGCTACCTGGGGGATCTTTGTCTTTGTGTGTTGGCAGTGCTAACAGCACTTGCCCCTGCAGTCTGTTGAAGGCTACCCGGGGGATCTTTGTCTTCGTGTGTGTGCAGTGCTAACAGCACTTGCCCCTGCACTCTGTTGAAGGCTACCCGGGGGATCTTTGTCTTTGTGTGTGTGCAGTGCTAACAGCACTTGCCCCAGCAGTCTGTTGAAGGCTACACGGGGGATCTTTGCCTTTGCTGTGTGTGCAGTGCTAACAGCACTTGCCCCAGCAGTCTGTTGAAGGCTACACGGGGGATCTTTGTGTGTGTGTAGTGCTAACAGCACTTGCCCCTGCAGTCTGTGGAAGGCTACCCGGGGGATCTTTGCCTTTGCTGTGTGTGCAGTGCTAACAGCACTTGCCCCTGCAGTCTGTTGAAGGCTACACGGGGGACCTTTGTCTTTGTGTGTGTGTAGTGCTAACAGCACTTGCCCCTGCAGTCTTTTGAAGGCTACCTGGGGGATCTTTGTCTTTATGTGTTGGCAGTGCTAACAGCACTTGCCCCTGCAGTCTGTTGAAGGCTACCCGGGGGATCTTTGCCTTTGCTGTGTGTGCAGTGCTAACAGAACTTGCCCCTGCAGTCTGTTGAAGGCTACCCTGGGGATCTTTGTCTTTGTGTGTGTGCAGTGCTAACAGCACTTGGCACTGCAGTCTGTTGAAGGCTACCCGGGGGATCTTTGCCTTTGTGTGTGTAGTGCTAACAGCACTTGCCCCAGCAGTCTGTTGAAGGCTACCCGGGGGATCTTTGTCTTTGTGTGTGTCTGCAGCCATGCTGGATGAGGATGTGGAGGCGGAGCGGCCGGCCGAGGTGGAGGGGGCGCTGACGCAGCTGCTGGAGATGGGCTTCTCAGAGAGCCGTGCCAGCGTGGCGCTGCACACCAACGAGTGGGTGCACACTCGCTCGCTCACACTCGCTCACACTCGCTCACACTCGCTCACACTCACACTCGCTCGCTCATACTCGCTCACGCTCGCTCACTCATACTCGCTCACACTCGCTCACTCATACTCGCTCACACTCGCTCACACTCGCTCACTCATACTCGCTCACACTCGCTCACACTCGCTCGCTCATACTCGCTCACACTCGCTCGCTCACACTCGCTCACACTCACACTCGCTCGCTCACACTCGCTCACACTCGCTCACACTCACTCGCTCACACTCGCTCACACTCGCTCACACTCGCTCACACTCGCTCACTCACACTCGCTCACACTCGCTCACACTCGCTCGCTCACACTCGCTCACACTCGCTCGCTCACACTCGCTCACACTCACACTCGCTCACACTCGCTCACACTCACACTCGCTCACACTCGCTCACTCACTCTCGCTCACACTCGCTCACACTCGCTCACTCATACTCGCTCACACTCGCTCACACTCGCTCACTCATACTCGCTCACACTCGCTCACACTCGCTCGCTCATACTCGCTCACACTCGCTCGCTCACACTCGCTCACACTCACACTCGCTCGCTCACACTCGCTCACACTCGCTCACACTCACTCGCTCACACTCGCTCACACTCGCTCACACTCGCTCACTCACACTCGCTCACACTCGCTCACACTCGCTCGCTCACACTCGCTCACACTCGCTCGCTCACACTCGCTCACACTCACACTCGCTCACACTCGCTCACACTCACACTCGCTCGCTCACACTCGCTCACACTCACACTCGCTCGCTCACACTCGCTCACACTCACGCTCGCTCACACTCGCTCACACTCGCTCGCTCACACTCGCTCACACTCTCTCACACTCGCTCGCTCACACTCGCTCACACTCACACTCGCTCACACTCGCTCACACTCACACTCGCTCGCTCACACTCGCTCACACTCACACTCGCTCGCTCACACTCGCTCACACTCACGCTCGCTCACACTCGCTCACAACTCGCTCGCTCACACTCGCTCACACTCGCTCACACTCGCTCACTCGCTCGCTCACACTCGCTCACACTCACACTCGCTCGCTCACACTCGCTCGCTCCACTCGCTCGCTCACACTCGCTCACACTCACACTCGCTCGCTCACACTCGCTCGCTCACACTCGCTCACACTCGCTCACACTCACACTCACTCGCTCACACTCGCTCACACTCGCTCGCTCACACTCGCTCACGCTCGCTCACACTCACACACGCTCGCTCACACTCGCTCACACTCGCTCACACTCGCTCACTCACACTCGCTCGCTCACACTCGCTCACGCTCGCTCACTCACACTCGCTCACACTCGCTCACTCACACTCGCTCACACTCACACTCGCTCGCTCACACTCGCTCACACTCGCTCACACTCACTCGCTCACACTCGCTCACACTCACACTCGCTCGCTCACCACTCGCTCACACTCGCTCGCTCACACTCGCTCACGCTCATACTCGCTCACAGCTCATACTCGCTCACACTCGCTCACGCTCACACTCGCTCACGCTCGCTCACACTCGCTCACACTCACACTCGCTCGCTCACACTCGCTCACGCTCGCTCGCTCACACTCGCTCACACTCACACTCGCTCGCTCACACTCGCTCACACTCACACTCGCTCACACTCGCTCACACTCACACTCGCTCACACTCGCTCACACTCACACTCGCTCACGCTCGCTCACACTCGCTCGCTCACGCTCGCTCGCTCACTCTCGCTCACGCTCACACTCGCTCACGCTCACACTCGCTCACACTCGCTCACACTCACACTCGCTCACACTCGCTCACACTCGCTCGCTCACACTCGCTCACGCTCACACTCGCTCACGCTCACACTCGCTCACACTCGCTCACACTCACACTCGCTCACGCTCGCTCACACTCGCTCACGCTCGCTCACGCTCACACTCGCTCGCTCACACTCGCTCACGCTCGCTCACACTCGCTCACACTCGCTCACACTCGCTCGCTCACACTCGCTCACGCTCGCTCACTCACATGCCAACGTGTGGGTGCACACGCGCCCATACTCGCTCACACTCGCTCACACTCACTCGCTCACACTCGCTCACGCTCGCTCACACTCGCTCACACTCGCTCACACTCACTCGCTCACGCTCGCTCACACTCGCTCACACTCGCTCACTCACATGCCAACGTGTGGGTGCACACGCGCCCATACTCGCTCACGCTCGCTCGCTCACACTCGCTCACACTCGCTCGCTCGCTCAACCTCACGCTCGCTCGCTCACACTCGCTCACGCTCGCTCACACTCGCTCACGCTCGCTCACGCTCGCTCGCTCACACTCGCTCACGCTCGCTCACACTCGCTCACGCTCGCTCACGCTCGCTCGCTCACACTCGCTCACGCTCGCTCACGCTCGCTCGCTCACACTCGCTCACGCTCGCTCACACTCGCTCACGCTCGCTCACGCTCGCTCACTCACACTCGCTCACACTCGCTCAAACTCACTCACGTTCGCTCACTCGCTCGCTCACATGCCAACGAGTGGGCGCGTGCTCGCTCACACTCGCTCACGCTCGCTCGCACAGATCAAACCTCACCCCTGCTCAGCCCTCACTTGCTCGCTCACACAGCTCACTCACTCTGTCACTCACCGTGTCAGCCGCCCACTCGCCCATCCGCACTCTCACCCATTCACCCACTCGCTAACCCGCTCACCCACCCACTCACCCACCCACCCTCACCCACCCTCACCCACCCACCCTCACCCACCTTCACCCACCCACCCTCACCCACCCACCCTCACCCACCCACCCACCCTCACCCACCCACCCTCACCCACCTTCACCCACCTTCACCCACCCACCTTCACCCACCCTCACCCACCTTCACCCACCTTCACCCACCTTCACCCACCCTCACCCACCTTCACCCACCCACCCACCCACCTTCACCCACCCACCCTCACCCACCTTCACCCACCCACCCACCCTCACCCACCTTCACCCACCCACCCACCCTCACCCACCTTCACCCACCCACCCACGCTCACCCACCTTCACCCACCCACCCACCCTCACCCACCTTCACCCACCCACCCACCCTCACCCACCTTCACCCACCCACCCACCCTCACCCACCCACCCACCCTCACCCACCTTCACCCACCCACCCACCCTCACCCACCTTCACCCACCCACCCACCCTCACCCACCTTCACCCACCCACCCACCCTCACCCACCTTCACCCACCCACCCACCCTCACCCACCCACCCTCACCCACCTTCACCCACTCACCCACCTTCACCCACCCACCCACCTTCACCCACCCTCACCCACCTTCACCCACCCACCCTCACCCACCTTCACCCACTCACCCACCCACCCTCACCCACCTTCACCCACTCACCCACCCACCCTCACCCACCCTCCCTCACCCACCTTCACCCACCCACCCTCCCTCACCCACCCTCACCCACCCGCACCCACCCAACCTCACCCACCCACCCACCCTCCCACCCTCACCCACCCTCACCCACCCACCCTCACCCACCCACCCCACCCTCACCCACCCCACCCTCACCCACCCACCCACCCTCACCCACCCACCCACCCACCCACCCTCACCCACCCACCACCCACCCTCACCCACCCACCCACCCTCACCCACCCTCACCCACCCACCCTCACCCACCCACCCTCACCCACCCTCACCCACCCTCACCCACCCTCACCCACCCTCACCCACCCACCCACCCTCACCCACCCACCCACCTTCACCCACCCACCCACCCTCACCCACCTACCCACCCTCACCCACCACCCTCACCCACCCACCCACCCACCTTCACCCTCCCTCACCCACCCTCACCCACCCTCACCCACCCACCCACCCTCCCACCCTCACCCACCCTCACCCACCCTCACCCACCCACCCTCACCCACCCTCACCCACCCTCACCCACCCACCCACCCTCACCCACCCTCACCCACCCACACCCACCCTCACCCACCCTCACCCACCCACCCACCCTCACCCACCACACCCACCCACCCACCCTCACCCACCTACCCACCCTCACCCACCCACCCTCCCTCACCCACCCCCACCCACCCACCCTCACCCACCCACCCCCACCCACCCCCACCCACCCACCCTCACCCACCCACCCTCACCCACCCACCCTCACCCACCCACCCTCACCCACCCACCCTCACCCACCTTCACCCACCCACCCACCCTCACCCACCTTCACCCACCTTCACCCACCTTCACCCACCCACCCACCCTCACCCACCTTCACCCACCCACCCTCACCCACCTTCACCCACCCACCCACCCTCACCCACCTTCACCCACCCACCCACCCTCACCCACCTTCACACCACCCACCCACCCTCACCCACCTTCACCCACCTTCACCCACCCACCCTCACCCACCTTCACCCACCCACCCTCACCCACCTTCACCCACTCACCCACCCACCCTCACCCACCCTCCTCACCCACCTTCACCCACCCACCCTCCCTCACCCACCCTCACCCACCCTCACCCACCCACCCTCACCCACCCACCCTCACCCACCCACCCTCACCCACCTACCCACCCTCACCCACCACCCTCACCCACCCACCCACCCACCTTCACCCTCCCTCACCCACCCTCACCCACCCTCACCCACCCACCCTCACCCACCCACCCTCACCCACCCTCACCCACCCTCACCCACCCACCCTCACCCACCCACCCACCCTCACCCACGCACCCTCACCCACCCTCACCCACCCTCACCCACCCACCCACCCTCACCCACCTACCCACCCTCACCCACCACCCTCACCCACCCACCCACCCACCCTCACCCACCCACCCTCCCTCACCCACCCCCACCCACCCACCCTCACCCACCCACCCTCACCCACCTTCACCCACCCACCTTCACCCTCCCTCACCCACCCTCACCCACCCTCACCCACCCACCCTCACCCACCCACCCACCCTCCCACCCTCACCCACCCACCCTCACCCACCCACCCTCACCCACCCTCACCCACCCTCACCCACCCACCCACCCTCAACCCACCCACCCTCACCCACCTACCCACCTCACCCACCACCCTCACCCACCCACCCACCCTCACCCACCCACCCTCCCTCACCCACCCCCACCCACCCACCCTCACCCACCCACCCTCACCCACCCACCCTCACCCACCCTCACCCACCCACCCTCACCCACCCTCACCCACCCTCCCTCACCCACCCCACCCACCCACCCTCACCCACCTACCCACTTTCACCCACCCACACTCACCCACCCACCCACCCTCACCCACTCACCCTCACCCACCCTCACCCACCCTCACCCACCCACCCTCACCCACCCACCCTCACCCACCCATCCACTTGCCCCACCCTCACCCACCCACCCTCACCCACCCACTTGCCCCACCCTCACCCACCCACCCTCCCACCCTCACCCACCCACCCTCCCACCCTCACCCACCCTCACCCCCCCACCCTCCCACCCTCACCCACCCTTACCCCCCCACCCACCCTCCCACCCTCACCCACCCTCCCACCCACCCTCACCCACCCACCCTCCCACCCTCACCCCCCCCACCCTCCCACCCTCACCCCCCCACCCTCACCCCCCCACCCTCCCACCCTCACCCCCCCACCCACCCTCACCCACCCACCCTCACCCACCCACCCACCCTCCCACCCACCCTCACCCACCCACCCTCCCACCCACCCTCCCACCCACCCTCACCCACCCACCCTCACCCACCCTCACCCACCCACCCTCCCACCCTCACCCCCCCACCCTCCCACCCTCACCCCCCACCCACCCTCCCACCCTCACCCACCCACCCTCACCCACCCACCCTCACCCACCCACCCTCACCCACCTACCCACCCTCCCACCCTCACCCACCCACCCTCACCCACCCACCCTCACCCACCCACCCTCACCCACCCACCCTCCCACCCTCACCCACCCACCCTCACCCACCCACCCTCACCCACCCACCCACCCTCACCCACCCACCCTCACCCACCCACCCTCCCACCCTCACCCACCCACCCTCACCCACCCACCCCCACCCACCCACTTGCCCCACCACCCTCACCCACCCTCACCCACCCCCACCCACCCACCCACTTCCCCCACCCACCCTCCCAGCATGTCGGTGACGCGCGCGATGGAGTGGCTCATTGAGCACGAGCACGACTCAACGGCGGCCGCCACCACCTCCTCCTCCACCTCCTCCACCTCCTCCGCCACCACCACCTCCACCGCCTCCTCCGCCACCTCCTCTGCCCCGGCGGTCACGGCGCCGGCGGCTCCGGCGACGGCCCCGTGGCTGCCGCGCCCCCCGGCGGCCTCCCCGGCGGCCTCCCCGGCGGCCTCCCCGGCGGCGGCGGCGGCGGCGGCGGCGGCCCCTCGGTCACCGAGGGGCGGGGCAAGCGGGGCCCAGGGAGAGGTCGCGACCCCGGACGACCTCACGGAGGTGTTCCGCCGGATCCGGCGCCGGCGCGAGTTCCGGCCGGACCCGATGGTGAGTGCAAGCACGGCGCAACCGGCGCAACCGCAGCAGCTCCCGCAACCACGGCAACCACCGCAACCACGGCAACCACCGCAACCACGGCAACCACGGCAAACACCGCAACCACCGCAACCCAGCGCCAGGGATGAGCGCAGGTGGCTACGTACAGTGTGAAAGAAGTTCAAAATGCATACGGACCACCTCAACCACAGCAACCACCGCTGCCACAGCAGCCGCATCAACCGCCGCAACTGGGATCGGAACCCGCGACCTCCTGTAGACCAGGCGAGGTAGTTAACATCGCATAGCCACCGTGATGATGATGATGAGAGAGGCACAGACCTCCTGTATACCAGGCGAGGTAGTTAACATCTCATAGCCACCGTGATGATGATGATGATGATGAGAGACACGCAAACTCCAAATATATAGCAGTAGCAGCAGCAGGCGTCGTCAGGGTCGGGATGGAACCCGCGACCTCCTGTAGACCAGGCGAGGTAGTTAACATCTCCTAGCCACCGTGATGATGAGAGAGAGACACAGACCTCCTGTGTACCAGGCGAGGTAGTTAACATCTCATAGCCACCGTGATAATGATGATGATGAGAGAGAGACACAGACCTCCTGTAGACCAGGCGAGGTAGTTAACATCTCATAGCCACCGTGATGATGATGATGATGATGAGAGAGAGACACAGACCTCCTGTGTACCAGGCGAGGTAGTTAACATCTCCTAGCCCCGTGATGATGATGATGAGAGAGAGACACAGACCTCCTGTGTACCAGGCGAGGTAGTCAACATCTCATAGCCACCGTGATGATGATGATGAGAGACACACACAGACCTCCTGTAGACCAGGCGAGGTAGTCAACATCTCATAGCCACCGTGATGATGATGAGAGAGAGAGACACAGACCTCCTGTGTACCAGGCGAGGTAGTCAACATCTCATAGCCACCGTGATGATGATGATGAGAGAGAGACACAGACCTCCTGTGTACCAGGCGAGGTAGTTAACATCTCATAGCCACCGTGATGATGAGAGAGAGAGACACAGACCTCCTGTAGACCAGGCGAGGTAGTCAACATCTCATAGCCACCATGATGATGATGATGAGAGACACACACAGACCTCCTGTAGACCAGGCGAGGTAGTCAACATCTCATAGCCACCGTGATGATGATGATGATGAGAGAGACACAGACCTCCTGTGTACCAGGCGAGGTAGCCAACATCTCGTAGCGACGCTCGCAGGGTGGGTGGCTGTTGCCGACGGGGGGTGCTGCTGGCTTTGTCTGTGCGAGGCAGGCGCTGGCTGCGCTGCTGGAGATGGGCTTTGAGGAGAAGGACATCGTGGAGGCGCTGCGAGTCAACGGCAACAACCAGGAGGCCGCTGTGAGTGCTGCTGCTGTGGTGTGTGTGGTGTGTGTGTGGTGTGTGGTGTGTGTGGTGTGTGTATGTGTGGTGGGGCTGTGTGGTGTGTGTGTGGTGTGTGTGTGTGGTGTGTGTGTGGTGTGTGCTGTGTGTGTGTGTGTGGTGGGGGTGTGTGTGTGTGGTGTGTGTGTGTGGTGTGTGTGTGTGGTGTGTGTGTGGTGTGTGTGTGTGGTGTGTGTGTGTGGTGTGTGTGGTGTGTGTATGTGTGGTGGGGCTGTGTGGTGTGTGTGTGGTGTGTGTGTGTGGTGTGTGTGTGGTGTGTGCTGTGTGTGTGTGTGGTGGGGGTGTGTGTGTGTGGTGTGTGTGGTGGGGCTGTGTGTGTGGTGGGGCTGTGTGGTGTGTGTGGTGTGTGTGTGTGGTGTGTGTGGTGGGTGTGGTGGGTGTGGTGGGGCTGTGTGTGTGGTGTGTGTGGTGTGTGTGTGTGGTGTGTGGTGTGTGTGTGTGTGTGGTGGGGCTGTGTGTGTGTGTGTGGTGGGGGTGTGTGGTGTGTGTGTGGTGTGTGTGTGTGGTGGGGGTGTGTGTGGGGGGGTGTCTGTGTGGGGGGTGGTGTGTGGGGTGGGGGTTGTGGGTGGTGGGGGGTGTGTGGTGTGTGTGTGGTGTGTGTGTGTGGTGTGGTGTGTGTGTGTGGTGTGGTGTGTGTGTGTGGTGTGTGTGGTGGGGGTGTGTGTGTGTGTGGTGTGTGTGTGGTCTGTGTGTGGTGTGTGTGGTGGGGGTGTGTGTGTGTGTGGTGTGTGTGTGGTCTGTGTGTGGTGTGTGTGTGGTGTGTGTGGGGTGGTGTGTGTGTGTGGTGTGTGTGTGGTGTGTGTGGGGTGGTGTGTGTGTGTGGTGTGTGGTGTGGTGTGTGTGTGGTGTGGATGTGGTGTGTGGTGGGTGTATGTGGTGTGTGTGTGTGGTGTGTGTGTGTGTGCTGTGTGTGTGTGGTGAGGCTGTGTGTGTGTGGTGTGTGTGGTGTGTGTTGTGTGTGTGGTGTGTGTGTTGTGTGTGTGTGGTGTGTGTGGTGGGGCTGTGTGTGCTTATGACTGGCTCCAGTTTAACAGCTGAGGTCTCACTCCGAATCAGTCGAGCGGCAATATCTTTTCATCGGCTGCGTAACGCTGTGTGGAAGCTACCTGGTCTGTCGCTCCGCACTAAGCTTCAGGTCTTCTCGGCCACGGTCATTCCCTCCCTTCTCTACGCTTGCGAAACGTGGACCCCCCTAATGGAACATCTTCGCCGGTTAGAAACATTTAGGCTGGCCTGCCTACGTTCCATCCTGGGTTTAACCAGACTGGATTGTGTGAGGAGCTCACAAATCCTTGAAAGATCTGGGCAGGGTCCCATCGGTGAGCTCCTCCGGCAGGCAAGGCTGCGATGGCTGGGTCATGTAGCCCGCATGCCCAGCCACCGCATGCCGAAACAGCTTTTGTTTGGCCGGATTGAGGGGGCTAAGCGGGCGCGGCACGGGCTAGAGAAGAGATGGAGTGATGTGGTACAGGAGGACGTGGAGCTGAGTGGACTTGCCGATGACTGGTACCAGCGGTGTCAAGATCGGCCTCTGTGGAGGAGGCTCGTGAAGGATGCTACTGGGCAGTTGGAGGCAGTCGCCCTCCAACAACAACGGAGGGCGGAGGAGCGACGCTCACAACAGCGAGCGGAGCGCCGGGTGGCTAAAGCACAGCAGGTTGGCACAGTAGGGGGCACAGGTGGTGCATCAGCCAGTCATCTCAGTCAGTCGACCCGTGGCACCTGGGTCTGCCCCGTGACCTCCTGCCAGCGGGCGTTCGACACTTCACGTGGCCTCAGGGTGCACATAGCCTGGCACAAGCGTCGTGGTGACGTCACCGCCACTTAGTGGCGAATGGCGGTTGTTGTTGTTGTTGTGGGGCTGTGTGTGTGTGTGTGCTGTGTGTGTGTGGTGTGTGTGGTGTGTGGTGGGTGTGGTGTATGTGTGGTGGGTGTGGTGTGTGTGGTGTATGTGTGGTGTATGTGTGGTGTGTGTGTGATGTGTGTGTGTGATGTGTGTGTGTGGTGTGTGTGGTGTGTGTTGTGTGTGTTGTGTGTGTGTGGTGTGTGTGTGGTGGGGCTGTGTGTGTGTGTGCTGTGTGTGTGCGGTGGGGCTGTGTGTGTGTGTATGGTGGGGGTGTGTGTGTGCTGTGTGTGTGTGGTGTGTGTGTGGTGTGTGTATGGTGTGTGTGTGCGGTGTGTGTGTGGTGTGTGTGTGTGTGGTGTGTGATGTGTGTATGTGTGGTGTGTGGTGTGTGTGTGGTGTGTGTGTATGTGTGGTGTGTGTGGTGTGTGTGGTGTGTGTGTGTGGTGTGCTGTGTGTGTGTGCTGTGTGTGCTGTGTGTGTGTGCTTTGTGCACGCTGTGTGTGCTGTGTGTGTGCTGTGTACGTGTGTGCTGCACACTGTGTACGTGTGTGTGCTGAGTGTGAGTGGCTGCCTGATTCACACTGTCTTGTGTGTTGTGTGCTGTGTGCGTCCTGTGTGTGTGCTGTGTGTGTGTGCGCTGTGTGTGTGTGTGTGTGCGCTGTGTGTGTGTGTGTGTGGTGCGCGTGTATGTGTGCTGTGTGTGTGCGTGCTGTGTACGTGTGTGTGTGTACGTGTGTGTGTGTGTGCTGTGTGTGTGCGCTGTGTGTGTGTGCGTGCTGTGTGTGTGTGCTGTGTGCGCTGTACGTGTGTGTGTGCGTGCTGTGTACGTGTGTGTGTGGTGTGCGTGTATGTGTGGTGTGTGTGTGCGCGCTGTGTACGTGTGTGTGTGGTGTGCGTGTATGTGTGCTGTGTGTGTCCGTGCTGTGTATGTCCGTGCTGTGTATGTGTGTGTGTGTACGTGTGTGTGTGTGCTGTGTGTGTGCGTGCTGTGTACATGTGTGTATGTGTGCTGTGTGTGCTGTACGTGTGTGTGTGGTGTGCGTGTATGTGTGGTGTGTGTGTGTGCTGTGTGTGTGTGTGTGTGCTGTGTACGAGTGTGTGTGTGTGTACGTGTGTGCGTGCTGTGTACGTGTGTGTGTGTGTGTGCTGTGTGTGTGTGGTGTGCGTGTATGTGCTGTGTGTGTGTGATGTGTGTACGTGTGTGTGCTGTGTGTACGTGTGTGCGTGCTGTGTACGAGTGTGTGTGTGTACGTGTGTGCGTGCTGTGTACGAGTGTGTGTGTACGTGTGTGCGTGCTGTGTGTGCGTGTGCGCTGTGTGTGTATGTGCTGTGTGTGTGTGTATGTGTGATGTGTGTACGTACGTGTGTGTGTGCGTGCTGTGTACGTGTGTGTGTGTACGTGTGTGTGTGTACGTGTGTGTGTGTACATGTGTTCGTGCTGTGTACGTGTGTGTGTGTGTGTACATGTGTGTGTGTACGTGCGTGTGTGTGTGTGTGTACGTGTGTGTGTGTGTGTGTACGTGTGTGTGTACATGTGTTCGTGCTGTGTACGTACGTGTGTGTGTGTGTGTACATGTGTGTGTGTACGTGCGTGTGCGTGCGTGCGTGCTGCGTGCGCGCGCAGTGCGAGTGGCTGCTGGGGGAGCGTGCTGGCGCGTCCTCCGAGGGCGGCGAGGGAGGCCTGTCCCCCGGCAGCCCGCTGCTTCAGGCCATCCTGGAGAACCCCGTGGTGCAGCTGGGACTCACCAAGCCCAAGATCCTGCTCGGTACGGCCACTGCACCTCCCCGCTCACTGCCTGCCTCTTCCGGCCGGGGGCGCGTTGGGTGCGTGCTGGCTGACAGTGCCACCCACCCCCTCTGTGTGTGCCACTGTGCCGGCCTTCATAGGCGCTGCCGCTGCTGCCGCTCGCTCACAGCACTTGCTCTCACAGCACTTGCTCACAGCCACTTGCTCACAGCACTTGCTCTTACAGCACTTGCTTACAGCACTTGCTCTTACAGCACTTGCTCTCACAGCACTTGCTCTCACAGCACTTGCTCTCACAGCACTTGCTCTCACAGCACTTGCTCTTACAGCACTTGCTCACAGCACTCGCTCTTACAGCACTTGCTCACAGCACTTGCTCTTACAGCACTTGCTCTTACAGCACTTGCTCTCACAGCACTTGCTCACAGCACTTGCTCACAGTACTTGCTCACAGCACTTGCTCACAGTACTTGCTCACAGCACTTGCTCTCACAGCACTTGCTCTTACAGCACTTGCTCACAGCACTTGCTCACAGCACTTGCTCACAGCACTTGCTCACAGCACTTGCTCTCACAGCACTTGCTCTTACAGCACTTGCTCACAGCACTTGCTCACAGTCACTCGCTCACAGCACTTGCTCTTACAGCACTTGCTCTTACAGCACTTGCTCTTACAGCACTTGCTCTCACAGCACTTGCTCACAGCACTTGCTCACAGTACTTGCTCACAGCACTTGCTCTCACAGCACTTGCTCTTACAGCACTTGCTCACAGCACTTGCTCTTACAGCACTTGCTCACAGCACTTGCTCACAGCACTTGCTCACAGCACTTGCTCTCACAGCACTTGCTCTTACAGCACTTGCTCTTACAGCACTTGCTCACAGCACTTGCTCTTACAGCACTTGCTCTCACAGCACTTGCTCACAGCACTTGCTCTTACAGCACTTGCTCACAGCACTTGCTCACAGCACTTGCTCTTACAGCACTTGCTCACAGCACTTGCTCTCACAGCACTTGCTCTCACAGCACTTGCTCTTACAGCACTTGCTCACAGCACTTGCTCTTACAGCACTTGCTCACAGCACTTGCTCACAGCACTTGCTCACAGCACTTGCTCACAGCACTCGCTCACAGCACTTGCTCTTACAGCACTTGCTCACAGCACTTGCTCTTACAGCACTTGCTCACAGCATTTGCTCTCACAGCACTTGCTCTCACAGCACTTGCTCTTACAGCACTTGCTCACAGCACTTGCTCACAGCACTTGCTCACAGCACTTGCTCTTACAGCACTTGCTCTTACAGCACTTGCTCTCACAGCACTTGCTCACAGTACTTGCTCACAGCACTTGCTCTTACAGCACTTGCTCACAGCACTCGCTCACAGCACTCGCTCACAGCACTCGCTCACAGCACTTGCTCACAGCCACTTGCTCACAGCACTTGCTCACAGCACTTGCTCACAATCACTTGCTCACAATCACTTGCTCACAGCACTTGCCCCCAAACGGGGTTCCGTTGCAAGGGCTTACCGCGTGTTTTTTTGGCCTTTGCGTTGGGCGCAGCGTTCGAGGACATGCTCGAGAACCCGGTTAACAGCGCCCAGTGGATGAACGACCCGGAGACCGGACCTGTCATGCTGCAGATCTCGCGCATCTTTCAGACCCTCAACCGGATGTGACCCTGCCGCTCGCACCTAGCCACGCTCCACCCACCACTGCTGGCAGCGGGCCCGCGCACAGGGGCAGCTGCCGCTAGGGGTGCCCCTAGGCGAGACCACACAGCGGCAGTCACCCCCTACGAGTGGCAGCGGGCCCGCGCACAGGGACAGCTGCCGCTAGGGGTGCCCCTAGGCTAGAACACGCAGTGGCAATTATCCCTATGACTGGCAGCGGACTCGCGCACAGGGACAGCTGCCGCTAGGGGTGCCCCTAGGCTAGAACACGCAGTGGCAATTATCCCTATGACTGGCAGCGGACTCGCGCACAGGGACAGCTGCCACTAGGGGTGCCCCTAGGCTAGACCACACAGCGGCAGTCATCCCCTACCACTGACAGCAGACTCACACACAGGGACAGCTGCCACTAGGGGTGCCCCTAGGCTAGACCACACAGCGGCAATCATCCCCTACCACTGACAGCGGACTCGCACACAGGGACAGCTGCCACTAGGGGTGCCCCTAGGCTAGACCACACAGCGGCAATCATCCCCTACCACTGACAGCGGACTCACACACAGAGACAGCTGCCACTAGGGGTGCCCCTAGGCTAGACCACACAGCGGAAATCATCCCTTACCACTGACAGCGGACTCACACACAGAGACAGCTGCCACTAGGGGTGCCCCTAGGCTAGACCACACAGCGGCAATTATCCCTATGACTGGCAGCGGACTCGCGCACAGGGACAGCTGCCACTAGGGGTGCCCCTAGGCTAGACCACACAGCGGCAGTCATCCCCTACTACTGACAGCGGACTCGCGCACAGGGACAGCTGCCGCTAGGGGTGCCCCTAGGCTAGAACACACAGCAGCAATTATCCCTATGATTGGCAGCGGACTCACACACAGGGACAGCTGCCGCTAGGGGTGCCCCTAGGCTAGACCACACAGCAGCAATCATCCCCTACCACTGACAGCGGACTCAAGCACAGGGACAGCTGCCACTAGGGGTGCCCCTAGGCTAGACCACACAGCGGCAATCATCCCCTACCACTGACAGCAGACTCACGCACAGGGACAGCTGCCACTAGGGGTGCCCCTAGGCTAGACCACACAGCAGCAATCATCCCCTACCACTGTCAGCGGACTCACACACAGGGACAGCTGCCACTAGGGGTGCCCCTAGGCTAGACCACACAGCGGCAATCATCCCCTACCACTGACAGCGGACTCACACACAGAGACAGCTGCCACTAGGGGTGCCCCTAGGCTAGACCACACAGCGGAAATCATCCCTTACCACTGACAGCGGACTCACACACAGAGACAGCTGCCACTAGGGGTGCCCCTAGGCTAGACCACACAGCGGCAATTATCCCTATGACTGGCAGCGGACTCGCGCACAGGGACAGCTGCCACTAGGGGTGCCCCTAGGCTAGACCACACAGCGGCAGTCATCCCCTACTACTGACAGCGGACTCGCGCACAGGGACAGCTGCCGCTAGGGGTGCCCCTAGGCTAGAACACACAGCAGCAATTATCCCTATGATTGGCAGCGGACTCACACACAGGGACAGCTGCCGCTAGGGGTGCCCCTAGGCTAGACCACACAGCAGCAATCATCCCCTACGAGTGGCAGCGGACTCGCGCACAGGGACAGCTGCCACTAGGGGTGCCCCTAGGCTAGACCACACAGCGGCAATCATCCCCTACCACTGTCAGCGGACTCAAGCACAGGGACAGCTGCCACTAGGGGTGCCCCTAGGCTAGACCACACAGCGGCAATCATCCCCTACCACTGACAGCAGACTCACGCACAGGGACAGCTGCCACTAGGGGTGCCCCTAGGCTAGACCACACAGCAGCAATCATCCCCTACCACTGACAGCGGACTCGCGCACAGGGACAGCTGCCACTAGGGGTGCCCCTAGGCTAGACCACACAGCAGCAATCATCCCCTACCACTGACAGCGGACTCGCACACAGGGACAGCTGCCACTAGGGGTGCCCCTAGGCTAGACCACACAGCGGCAATCATCCCCTACGACTGACAGCGGACTCGCACACAGGGACAGCTGCCACTAGGGGTGCCCCTAGACTAGACCACACAGCAGCAATCATCCCCTACCACTGACAGCGGACTCACACACAGAGACAGCTGCCACTAGGGGTACCCCTAGGCTAGACCACACAGCAGCAATCATCCCCTTCCACTGACAGCGGGCTCGCACACAGGGACAGCTGCCACTAGGGGTGCCCCTAGGCTAGACCACACAGCAGCAATCATCCCCTACGACTGACAGCGGACTCACGCACAGGGACAGCTGCCACTAGGGGTGCCCCTAGGCTAGACCACACAGCAGCAATTATCCCTATGACTGACAGCGGACTCACACAGGGACAGCTGCCGCTAGGGGTGCCCCTAGGCTAGACCACACAGCGGCAATTATCCCCTACGACTGTCAGCAGACTCACACACAGGGACAGCTGCCGCTAGGGGTGCCCCTAGGCTAGACCACACAGCGGCAATTATCCCCTACGACTGACAGCGGACTCACACACAGGGACAGCTGCCGCTAGGGGTGCCCCTAGGCTAGACCACACAGCGGCAATCATCCCCTACCACTGTCAGCAGACTCGCACACAGGGACAGCTGCCGCTAGGGGTGCCCCTAGGCTAGACCACACAGCGGCAATCATCCCCTACCACTGACAGCGGACTCACACACAGGGACAGCTGCCACTAGGGGTGCCCCTAGGCTAGACCACACAGCAGCAATCATCCCCTACCACTGACAGCGAACTCACGCGGTGACACAAAACCAACGTGAACTCGCTCGCCCTGCACACCGACCCCCCGCTCCACCCCCGCCGCATATATATATTTCCGCTTAAGCTAAACTAAAAACTATTGACGGTGTTTATTTCACCGAGGGAAGGTGCCCCCACTGAAGTTGTGTGTAGCTCGTTTTTTTCAGAAGCCACCTGGCCATCCCAAATGACAGTTCCACAAAGTGGCTTATCGTCATCGTCATCATCATCGTCGTCATCATCATCGTCGTCATCATCATCGTCGTCATCATCATCGTCGTCATCATCATCATCATCATCGTCATCACGTAGACATTTTTACCGCAGCAGTCGAAGACTCTAAACGCGTGGTGACGTTGATTCTGAATGTGGAGGGGGGAGAAAACCTGGAGGAGGACCCCGGGGAAAAATCCACGCGACCACGGGGAGAGAGAGAGAGACGCAGACTCCAAATCTACAGCAGCAGCAGCAGGCGTTGTCAGGGTCGGGGATCGAACCCACGACCTCCTGTAGACCAGGCGAGGTAGTTAACATCTCATAGCCACCGTGATGATGATGAGAGAGAGACACAGACTCCAAATATACAGCACCAGCAGCAGCAGGCGTTGTCAGGGTCGGGGACTGAACCCACGACCTCCTGTAGACCAGGCGAGGTAGTTAACATCTCCTAGCCACCGTGATGATGATGAGAGAGAGACGCAGACTCCAAATATACAGCAGCAGCATCAGGCGTTGTCAGGGTCGGGGATCGAACCCACGACCTCCTGTAGACCAGGCGAGGTAGTTAACATCTCCTAGCCACCATGATGATGATGAGGCGGTCATCGTGGGCAATCCGCATGTCCTCCCCCCCTAGGGACATTCAGTTTCCGGGGTTGGCCAGTTGTGTGTGTATGTGTATGTAAGTGTGTATGTATGTGTGTATGTGTGTGTGCGTGCGCGTGCGTGTATGTGGGCATGTGTGTGTGTATATGCCGGCCTTCATAGGTGCTCGCTAACAGCACTTGCCTCAACAGTCTGTTCAGGCTATACGGGGATCTTTGTACATGTGTGTGGTAGTGTAGCGGTTAGCGCTACGCTGCGTTACGAACCCGGCGGCCCAAGTTCGATTCCTGCTCACGGCCAACGCTAAGTTGGCCGTGAGTATCTGCAACCGGTCCTGGGCCTCCCCTAGATCGACTCAGCCTCATATGAGTACCTGGTGCGTTGTGTAAACATCGCCACTGGGGAAACAAAGGCGGCCGGGCGTGGTGTTGGTCACCCACCCACTCGTGTGTCGTGCCGGCCTTCATAGGTGCTGCTCGCTAACAGCACTTGCCCCAACAGTCTGTTCAGGCTACACGGGTGATCTTTGTCTTTGGGGCCGTCCATAAATGCCCCAGTCCGTGACCTCGGGTATCGAGTCCGTGACCCCGGGCCCGCGACCGCAGGCCTCGGGCCCCTTGACCCCGAGTCCGTGACCCCGGGGCCCGAGTCCGTGACCCCGAGGCCCTAGTCCGTGACCCCGGGGCCCGAGTCCGTGACCCCGTGCCCCGAGTCCGTGACCCCGGGGCCCGAGTCCGTGACCCCGTGCCCCGAGTCCGTGACCCTGTGCCCCGAGTCCGTGACCCCGGGGCCCGAGTCCGTGACCCCGGGGCCCGAGTCCGTGACCCCGGGGCCCGAGCCGTGACCCCGAGGCCCGAGTCCGTGACCCCGAGGCCCGAGTCCATGACCCCGTGCCCCGAGGCCGTGACGTCAGTAGGAGGAGGGGGGGGGGGAGTCTTTGCCGTTGTTGAGAGATGAATTTTGTGGGGGGGGTGTTTTTTTTTGGTTTTTAAGAATTCTTTATCTGGAGGAATTGTATAAATCCTCGCGAATTGACTTGGCGTGGCATCGCATTAAAAGAGTTCCCACTGAGACGGAGGACATCTCTACGTGTCGCCTGCTTCGCGCTGTGTGCTTCTTGTCGTGGGGTGGGGGGGGGGAGTGATTTGTGAAACTATCTACTCCAGTTTTATTTTACCAGGTAAGTCACCGACTGAGCTGCCCGTGTAGTTGTTTTTCAGAAGCGACCCACCTGGCCATCACAAAAAAATTATCGCAGCTCGACCAAAGTGGCTTGTTATCGCCATCATCTTCGTGGACATTGAGAGCAGCAGCCAAATACTATAAACGTGTTTCTACAGACTCGTAGAGACCTATACTCATAGAGACCCACAGAGACCCATACTCGTCGATACCCATACTCATAGAGACCCATACTCACAGATACCCACAGAGACCCATACTCAGACCCATACTCATAGAGACCCATAGACACCCATACTTATAGAGACCCACGCTCATAGAGACCCATACTCATAGACCCACAGACACCCATACTCATAGAGACCCACAGAGACCCATACTCATAGAAACCCACAGAGACCCATACTCATAGAAACCAATAGAGACCCATACTCAGAGACCCATACAGATACCCACAGAGACCCATACTCAGACCCATACTCATAGAGACCCATACTCATAGAGACTCACAGAGACCCACACTCATAGAGACCCATACTCAGACCCACAGACACCCATACTCATAGAAACCCACAGACACCCATACTCATAGAGACCCACAGAGACCCATACTCATAGAAACCCACAGAGACCTGCAGACACCCATACTCATAGAGACCCATACTCATAGAGACCCACAGAGACCCATACTCATAGACACCCACAGAGACCCATACTCATAGAAACCCACAGAGACCTGCAGACACCCATACTCATAGAGACCCATACTCATAGACCTACAGACACCCATATTCATAGAGACCCACAGAGACCCATACTCATAGAGACCCACAGAGACCCATACTCATAGAAACCCACAGAGACCTACAGACACCCATACTCATAGAGACCCATACTCAAGAGACCTACAGACACCCATACTCAGAGACCCATACTCAGAGACCCACAGACACCCATACTCATAGAGACCCATACTCAGAGACCCACAGACACCCATACTTATAGAGACCCATACTCATGGAGACCCACAGAGACCCATACTCATAGAGACCCACAGAGACCCATACTCATAGAGACCCATACTCATAGATACCCACAGAGACCCATACTCAAAGAGACCCACAGAGACCCATACTTATAGAGACCCATACTCATAGAGACCCATACTTATAGAGACCCATACTCATAGAGACCCATACTCATAGAGACCCACAGAGACCCATACTCAGAGACCCACAGAGACCCATACTCATAGAGACCCACAGAGACCCATACTTATAGAGACCCACAGAGACCCATACTTATAGAGACCCATACTCAGAGACTCACAGAGACCCACACTCATAGAAACCCATACTCATAGACCCACAGACACCCATACTCATAGAGACCCACAGACACCCATACTCATAGAGACCCACAGAGACCCATACTCATAGAAACCCACAGAGACCTACAGACACCCATACTCATAGAGACCCACAGAGACCCATACTCATAGAGACCCACAGAGACCCATACTCATAGAAACCCACAGAGACCTACAGACACCCATATTCATAGAGACCCACAGAGACCCATACTCATAGAGACCCACAGAGACCCATACTCATAGAAACCCACAGAGACCTGCAGACACCCATACTCATAGAGACCCATACTCAAGAGACCTACAGACACCCATACTCAGAGACCCATACTCAGAGACCCATACTCATAGAGACCCACAGAGACCCATACTCATAGAGACCCACAGAGACCCATACTCATAGAGACCCACAGAGACCCATACTCAAAGACCCACAGACACCCATACTCATAGAGACCCATACTCATAGAGACCCACAGAGACCCATACTCATAGAGACCCACAGAGACCCATACTCATAGAGACCCATACTCATAGAGACCCACAGAGACCCATACTCATAGAGACCCACAGAGACCCACAGAGACCCATACTTATAGAGACCCATACTCATAGAGACCCATACTCATAGAGACCCACAGAGACCCACAGAGACCTATACTCATAGAGACCCATACTTATAGAGACCCTTACTCATAGAGACCCATACTCATAGAGACCCATACTCATAGAGACCCACAGAGACCCACAGAGACCCATACTCATAGAGACCCACAGAGACCCATACTCATAGAGACCCACAGAGACCCACAGAGACCCATACTCATAGAGACCCATACTCGTCGAAACTCATACTCTGAGAGACCCACATAATGAGGACTCACAGAGACCCATACTAAATCTCATTTTTTCTTAATTTTATTGGCTTATCACGTCGAAATATATCACAGCAGCCTAAATACTACAAACACCAACAACATCAACAACGTTCATTTTGTACGGCACTTGCAAGGGGCAATTGATGCTACCGGGCAGTGCCAGGCTAGGTTCACTTGATGCTACCGGGCAGTGCCAGGCTAGGTTCACTTGATGCTACTGGACAGTGCCAGGTTAGGTTCACTTGGTGCTACCGGACAGTGCCAGGCTAGGTGCACTTGATGCTACTGGACAGTGCCAGGCTAGGTTCACTTGATGCTACCGGGCAGTGCCAGGCTAGGTTCACTTGATGCTACTGGACAGTGCCAGGCTAGGTTCACTTGATGCTACTGGACAATGCCAGGCTAGGTTCACTTGATGCTACTGGACAGTGCCAGGCTAGGTGCACTTGATGCTCCTGGACAGTGCCAGGCTAGGTGCACTTGATGCTACCGGGCAGTGCCAGGCTAGGTTCACTTGATGCTACCGGACAGTGCCAGGCTAGGTTCACTTGATGCTACTGGACAGTGTCAGGCTAGGTTCACTTGATGCCATTGGACAGTGCCAGGCTGGGTGCACCTTGCCTGGCACAAGAGCCGTGTGGTGACGTCACAGACAATGGGGGGTGGGGGAGTGGTCACCGCCGTCACGTGACCCCAGAGCGACTCGCGCTTTCCCGCACGGTTTCTCCGCGCGACGGATGACGTCATCGCCGGTGACGTCACCGGCGCGAGTCTCCACAAGCCCCCCCCCCATACACACGCGGCGGGTGAGGGGGGCGGGGGCAAGAACAACCGCGATCAACGATTGGTGCGGGCGCGCATCACGTGATCCCCACCAAACCCTTCCCC